CCGCCGCCGAGTCGGAGGGCTGGGGGGCGGAGCCAGTGCGCTCACGGCCCCGCCCCCGAGCGCCGCGGATTTGTTTTCTTACAAACTTGTTACAATGTACCCTGGCAGTGTTGCCCGGCACCCGACCTCACGGTGCCCCGCCCACGCGGCCTGCGCAGCCAATGGTACGCGTCGCCGAGCGGATTTCGAGCGCCGGCGTGGGCGGTGTCGCACCTGATTGGCCAGGGCGCGGCGACCGGTGGAGCGCGGCTATGGCGGGGTTTTCGGTTTTCAAATGCGCCGGGCGGGCGGGAAAGAGGGCCGGTTTAACTGACCCGAGGGAGAAAGGTCGGGGGCAGAGGAGCGCGGGCTGCTCCGGGACCTCAGCGCCTCCTGGGGGAAGGGAGGAAGCGCTGGGGCCGCCCAGTCCGCGGTTCCACTGTGCAGTTACGCGCGATCGGCCTGTATTAGCCCTGACTACGAGCTGGGCGCTTTATTTCATTCATTCACTCACTGCGCGCGGAGGCCGTTCTGGCGGTGCACAATCAAGCAACTCAATCATTTTAGGTAGCACTAAGCACCATGAAGAAAGCAAAACGGGGATATGGGGAGGATGAGGAAGGAATCACCCTTCCTAGCTCAGAGCCAGCCCGGGAGAGGAGGAAGGCTGACCCGCAGCTGCCACGTGGGCGGGCCTGGAAGGGGAGAGAGTCGCTCCCGGAAGCGGTTCCAGACGCTTCATTCAAAAATTGACTGAGCACCTCCTGGAGGTGCCCAGCAGGAGGGCTAGCCAGGCCACCCCTGCGGCAGGATGCCTACAGTCCGGGGCTGAGACAATCATTGCGTCTTTTCAGAGTGGTAGACTCTAGGATAAGTGAAAATCCCTTGGGGGGGGAAGCCTTTAAAATTGGGGGATCAGAGAGGACTTCTCTGGGGAGATGACACCCGGGAGATGACATTTGACGCCTGCCGGTAGGTGAGAGAGGGAGTCTTGTGGTTGTCTGGAGGAAAGTATGCCAGGTGGAAGTTACTGCAGATGCAAAGGCCCTCAGGCGACCATGCCTGGTATGGGGGTTAGTGGGAGGAGGGGAGGCCAGGCCGGTGGGGGGTTGGCATAGTGGGTGTGTTATGCAGATCAGACACAAGACAGAAACCATGGGAGGGTTCTAAGCAGAATGGCACCAAGATCTTATCAGAGGTTAACAGGCCCTCTGTCTGCTATGGGGGGGACAGACTGTGGAACCAGGGGACTAGGGTGGAGATGATGGTCCCATCCCAGGTGAGTGATGACTGAGGCTGAGGAATGGACATGTTTCTCACAGCCACGCCAGGGACCTCCCTGGCATCCCCAGCCCCCAGCCAAGAAGCACATACACAGCAGCTAGATTCATCTTTTTAATAATATCCTAAAACTCAGAGGAGCAGGCCAGCGGGGCCTCTGGGCTCAGCAGCTATGAAGGAGAAGGGACCCCCGACATCCCCTAAGGCAGGTCATTGCAAGAAGGCACTCATGAGGGGGACTTCAAGCCCCTCTTCTGTTTCTTCATATAAAATCAGGGAGATGGGAGAATCCCCGAGGGGAGAGGCAGGGAGACTTCCCTCATAGCCTGTGGGTACCGGAAGAGGTCAGGAGGGGGTAGAGACCAAGAAACCACCAAGTCGGGAGCCTGCCCTCAGACAAACACACACAGCCCCCTCACCGTCCCTCCCTCTTTAAAAATCTGCAGTGGGGGCTGTGGGGAGGCCCCATGTTCAAGCCCCACCTCTTCTCCCTTCTAGCTGGTACGAAGCTGGTAATCTGCAGGGAAACAATGAGGAAGGACCATTTCAGAAGTGGGGAAGGGAAAAGAGGGACAGCTCCTAAATCCATCCATCCCCTGCTCCAATGCTCATGATCAATCTTGGGAATACTTAACAAGACTGAGATGGGGTTAAACACAGGTACTGTTACCATAGCAACAAGTCAGTTTCCAGGGAACACATGAGGGTGCTGGGTGTTCAGTCCCTGGCCCAAATCTCAAAACCACCCTAGAGAACTGGCAACTGCCCCTACTTTTTTTTTTTTTTTTTTAAATCAGGCTCTCACTCTGTCACGCAGGCTGGAGAACAGTGGCACCATCATGGGTCACTGCAGCCTTGACCTCCTGGGCTCAGGTGATCCTTCTGCCTCAGCCTCCCAAATAACGAGTAGCTGGAACTACAGGCGCCACCATGCTCAGGTTATTTTATTTATTGTTTTTGTAGAGACAAAGTCTCATTATGTCGCTCAGGCTGTCTTGAGCTCCTGGGCTCAAGCAATCCTCCAGCCTTACCCTCCTAAAGTGCTGGGATTATAGGTGTGAGCCACCATGCTGGGCCTGCCCCCATTGTAAAGATGTGGAAGTGGGCGAGGTGACTCAAGCCTGTAATCCCAGCACTTTGGGAGGCCAAGGCTAAAGGATTGCCTGAGCTCAGGGGTTGGAGACTGACCTGAACAACTTGTTGAGACTTTGTCTCTACAATAAATCAAAAAATTAGCTGGGAGTGGCAGCGCGCACCTGTAGTTCCAGCTACTTGGAAGGCTGAGGTGGAAGGGTCACCTGAACCCAGCAGGTCAAGGCTGCAATGGCCGTGAGCATGCCACCGCACTCCAGCCTGGGCCATAGAGTGAGACCCTGACTCAAAAAAAAAGATGTGGAAACCTAAGCCCAGGATGGCTTGAAAAGAAGAGGCCAGGCCTGCTGGGTCTTCTGAGCCAGAATGTGGTCAAAACCCTGAGTCCCTACTCTCTCCATCTCCTTGCCCTGTTGTCTCGGGGAGCCGGGCTCTCTTACCGCCACTCTGTGTGATATAGCGAACCCATGGCAGGGCCTGGTAACCACTTTTCTCAATGATCTTCATGTATCGGACCTAGAAGGTAATAGAAATAAGTGGCTCGGGCTTGCGGGAGCATAGCGGCTTGGGGTCAAGGAGACAGAGTCACAAAGGCCAAGGGAATCTGTGATATGACTTGGGGGGAACAGGGTGGCACAGGCTGGGAATCATGAGGTCACAAGACATGGAGAGGGCAGGACAGGGGGCCAGGACATTGGGGAAAGAGATGGCCCAGTCCAAGAGGAGAGACATGACACGTGTTGAGGGGATGAGGTAGCACAGGCCCTGAGAACACGGTGAACGGCTTGCAGGTGGGGGAGAGAGAAAAGCAAACCAATTGGTGGGAAATGAGGTGGCACCGGCCAGAGGGACGGGACTCAGGCAGGGAGCAGAAGAAGGCAACATTGCTCTGGGGAAGATGAGGAAAACTTGGCAGAGTGGTGACACAGGTTGAGGATCTCAGGTGACTTGAGCCAAGGGACAGGAGAGGAGGAACGCGCTGCAGTCGGGGGAGGAGCCTCCCGCCCACTTCCTCACCTGAATCCCAGAGACAGTGAAGTAGGGAATCTCAAACTTGACCCCGATGGGGGGTCGACCCTCCAACTCCTCCTTCTCCACGCTGGGGAGGCCAAAGTGGGCTCGCATCAGGTACTCCTTGCCTCCCTGAGGGCACAGGGTGGGGCATCAGACACACCAGGGGCCTTCTACCTGCCCCAGATCATTCTTAGAGCAGCCTCTGGAGAAAGCTCTGATCTCAGCATATTTCTTTTTTTTTTTTATTTGGAGTCTCACTCTGTCACCCAGACTGGAGTGCAGTGGCTGCTTCCGGCCACC